GGTGCTTAGAATGTAGCAGTTGTCCCCAGAACAGGTAAAGAAGGGAAATCTTACAATGGGGACACCATTTTTTTGTTTTAGATATTCAGTAAACTCCCTGTTATCTGGCATCCACAGGGATTGGTAGATTGTGGATAAATATAGTTTCTGGTTGCTTGAGAGTTACTATTAAAAATAGATCTAACTAATGCCACACCCCATACTATACAATGACATAACATAAACTCTGTATTGACTTCATATTAATATTGAAATACAGTAATTAAAAAGCAAAATCAGACAAATACACACTTAAGACAAATAGGCACACGATCATTTCCAGGATGATACATGCTGCAGATCAGCAAAACAGTGGAGTACACAGAGGATTTTTTTCTCTGATTAGATGAGAGTTCTGGTTAGTTGAATACCTAATAACTGAGAGTTTACTGTACTTCACTATCTCCCTTCCAGAACACCCTTAACTAAAATCAGCTTGGACAGTGGTCCCATTTCTCCAACACTTTCCTTGCAGAATATTGTTTTCTTCGGTACACTTAAATGAAAAATTGTTTCTTTACACTAGATGACAAATGGCCCCCACAATGGTAATACCTAAGATGAACCCCTCATTCCCCTACCGCTTACATTACCAATAAAGATAAATGGACTTAGTGCTGTGAGGAGGACGCGGTGTCCTGTACTACTCGGTGACGCTTCGTTTCTTGAGATCTGGACAGTTCTGGGCTTTGTACGGCAGTTCTTACCGGACAGAAATCAATTCCGATCGTGTTTATCTTTAAATCAACACAGATATTTCATCGCTGTTCTTAATGTGCTGTATGATCAATACATATACGTTCATAAATCAGCTGAACAATAGTGATGGTTTATCTGCCATATGGCAGCTTGGATAGATGCTAAAAGTATATTGCTGGTATATAACTGAAATATTAATGACCATTTAAAAAACAATATAACACATTTTTTTTTTAAATTAGGGGAATGAATGAAATATCGCATCTTCATTATCCTATGTAAGCTGAAAATATATATACAGTATAGCTCAAAGTTGTTTTTTTTAAACTTTTGATTGAGTAGAGCTAGCCATACATACATACATACCCTTTTCGATCAGAGGCTCAGTGGAGGCTTGCCAGTGGGTGGCAGATGATTGTCTCACTGGAGGATACACAGTGAAGTTGTGGAAGTGTGATTGCACAAAAAAACATCACTCTTTTTGGACTTTTGTTCATCAGGGTTAGTGATGTGCTTGGGCTTAGTGCAAACCCAATCCACCTGAGTTTGCCCAAGCCTGCTCAAAACTGTGACCAACACACTCCCCCTCCTGGTCCGATCAGTTGTGGTAGGCACATTCCCAGTCCCGCAGCTAGGCATCACAAATGGGCTGGGAATACCACTGCTGTCACTTCTGGAACTGATTGTTCCAGGGGGGTAGTTGGTCAGAGTTTTGAGTGGGCTTGGGATAACTCAGGCAAGCTTGGTTTGCATCAGGCCTAGTCTCATCACTAATGACTGGGTTATATTTGTCACATTTTTACTCACAATATTAATTTTATGAGCACTTATGTTTTTATTTGATAGTACTTGTATAAAATGAGAGGTGAATGCGTTGTTTTGTTTGTTTATTTCTGAGCATCGTAAAATAGCTGTATATTCACTATGTGGGATAGACATATACTAATTTACACATTGTTTATATACAATTTTAAGTAGTATTTTGTTATGTAGATATTACAGTGTTAGTTTGCCACATTACTATTCTCCATCATATAAAATGAATACAAAATAAAGCATGGTGGGAGCCCCTCATAATGGGCACAGCAGGTGTGCAGACCTAGGAACTCAACCCATGGAGGGTAGCAGCCCCTCATAATGGGCACAGCAGGTGTGCACACCTGGGAACTCAGTACGGGAATGGTAAGATACCCTTATAATGGGCACAGCAGGTGTACAGACCTGGGAACTTGGCACAGAAATGGTGGGAGCCCCTTATAATGGGCACAGAAGGTGTACAGACCTGGGAACTTGGCACAGAAATGGTGGGAGCCCCTTGTAATGGGCACAGCAGGTTTACAGAGCAAGGAATTCAGCACAGAGATAGAGGGAAGGAGCACCTGGGCACAACAGGTGTATAGACCCAGGGAATGTAGTGCAGGGATGGTGGAAGCCCCTCATATTGAACACAGCAGATGTGTGGATCCAGGATCTCAGTGTAAAGATGATGTAAGCCACTCATAATAGGCACAGATCGTGAGCAGACCCAGGAACTCAGCACAGGGATGTAGGGAGCCCCTCATAATGGGCACAACATGTGTACAGACTTGGAAACTCCCACGATCCCTGTGCTCCCACCATCTCTGTGCTGAGTTTCCAGGTCTGCACACCTGCTATGCCGTTATGAGCGCTTCCCTCAATCCCTGTGCTTAATTCCTGGGTCTTCCTGAATTCAGTGACCTCACAAATAGAGTTCCCAAAGGTCACTAGATAATGTCAAGTGGCTTAACTCTCCAGGATCCACCAAAATATCAGTTTTGGTTGGACTGACCTTTAAGGGGAAATATTCGGCATTTTACTAACATGTTATAACAGAATAGCTGCTTTAGCCAACTACAGCCAAATCAAAAACGACTCGTATATTGCATTCAATCAGCTGCGTATTTCTGAAAATGGTTTACAGTTTACAAATGATTTGTGCGTACCCCATAACAACAAAAGAAACTGATCGACCATCGGTGAGGCTCCTGCTCGCTTCTTACCACTTCCCACAATGCATTGTTCCCAGCCTTCATTGTAAACCTTTTATGCGAATTCGGACGCATTTGAGGCACATGCAGGCGTTAAACGAGCGGCTTACGTCCCGTGCTCTTAATTAACAGATCAGTTAAGCAGCAAACAGCCAAATTAAAAGAGCAAAGGCTTTTTCAGTTGTACGGCTTTAATTACCAATCCGCCAGTGGCCTTAATTAACGGACCTGCCGATGGTCTACTGAGATCTCCCTAAGGTACCAAGGAGTCGCTTTCCTCCACACACTACAGCAAAGGCCAAGAAGATGGAGTTACAGCTGATGAGGGATTTATTGTTTTTTTCCTCTCTCACACTCTGAGTATTTTTTTCCCCCTTTTTCTTTTTAGAAAGAGCTGACTTTGAATAAGAGCAGCATAAAAAAATCTGCTTGCTGGCAATTGTGTTGATATATACATAACGTAAGCCATTAATCATACTTAAAAGCCAAGGTGCCAGTATATGTATGCAGATAGTAACATTTTATGATCTCGGCACCGTATATCTTGTGGAATATGTTTGCTTTTCCACTTTTTTGTGTACATGCCGTGAATTATGACATTATCAGTATGAAGCTTTTCCGAGAAAAGGAACCGGCGTTAGGCTGTTAAACATGAACTCCAGTCACAATTACATTTTTGTACAATGGCTAGCAAAATATGCACATTAATTAGAAGTCCAGACCCACAACAAAGCATTGCTTAAAGTGACATCGCTTTAACAAAAAAAAAGCTTCTGATATGCAGATGTAAAGTGCAGGAACCTAAAGAAAGGTATTACGGTATTACAACTTCAGTGGTCCCTCTTCCCACCTAAATGTTGGGTAATTTTAATTGGACAGAGCTCTGACACTTCCCAGTAGTTGCAGCTTAAAAACTGCAAAACTGGCACACATTGCTCTTCCAAAGAAAATTTTTTCCCACATGCATCTGTAAAAAAAAAAACAACCTTAGACGCGTTTCTGCCTTACCCGGCTATGATTAAGCCTGAGTAAGGCAAGACAGATATGCAGGGAAAAATTCGATTTTCTTTGGAAGAGCATCTTGTGTGGCAGAGCATCATGTGTGGCAGAGTGGCAGAATCACGTTATTTTTTTAGGGTGGGGCATCTGTGGATTACAAAGGCACTAAAGAGTGGGAATGATTCTTGGCACAATTGATTTCCTGACGAAACTCAATTTTCCTGTTTGGGAGACTCTCAATATTAGTAATTGAGCTGCTTAGGCAAAATTGG